CTGAGGCATGCAATGCATGTGCTGCATACATAGACAGCATGCCACTCCGCCTAGTTCATTGCTGTCTATGGCCCTCCCCCCATGTTGCTGCCACTGAAAATTCCATCGACTTCAATGGTGCAGTATCAGACCTTAAGGCAATATGCTTTACAACACTACAAATAGTCAGAACAATTGGTCACAGTTCTTAACTCGCTGCACAGACAGTAGTTGCAAACAAAATCATAGGGTATGTCTACACTACAAAATTAGGTCGATTTTATAGAAATCAATTTTTAGAAATCGATTTTATACAGTCGATTGTATACGTCCCCACTAAGAGCATTAAGTCGGCGGAGTGCGTCCTCAATACCGTGGCTAGCATCGATTTACGGAGCGGTGCACTGTGGGTAGCTATCCCACAGTTCCCGCAGTCTCCGCTGCCCATTGGAATTCTGGGTTAAGCTCCCAATGCCTCATGGGGCAAAAACGTTGTCGAGGGTGGTTTTTGGTACATGTCATCAGTCGCCCCTCCCTCCCTCTCTCCCTCCATGAAAGCAACGGCAGAAAACCGTTTCGCGCTTTTTTCCTGGGCTACCTCTGCAGACGCCATAGCACGGCAAGCATGGAGCCCGCTCAGCTCACCGCAGCTGTTGTGAGCATTGTAAACACCTCGCGCATTATACTGGAGTATGTGCAGAACCGGGCTAAGAGACGCCAGCACAAGGACGATTGTGAGGAGGACATGGACACAGACATTCCTGAAAGCACGGGCTGTGGCAATTGGGACATCATGGCGGCAGTGGGGCTGGTTGATACAGTGGAACGCTGATTCTGGGCCTGGCAAACAAGCACAGACTGGTGGGACTGCATAGTGTTGCCAGTATGGGATGATTCACAGTGGCTGCGAAACTTTCGCATGCGTAAGGCCACTTTCCTTGAACTTTGAGAGTTGCTTTCCCCTGCCCTGAAGTGCAGGAATATTAAGATGAGAGCTGCCCTGACAGTTGAGAACCGAGTGGCAATAGTCTTGTGGAAGGTTGCAATGACTGACTGTTACCGGTCAGTAGGGAATTAATTTGGAGTGGGCAAGTCTACTGTGGGGACTGCTGTGATCCAAGTAGCCAATGCAATCACTGACGTTCTGTTAACAAGGGTAGTGACTCTGGGAAACATGCAGGTCATACTGGATGACTTAGCTGCAATGGAGTTCCCTAACTGTGGTGGGGCAATAGACGGAACACATATCCCTATCTTGGCACTGGACCACCTTGCCAACCAGTATGTAAGCCGCAATAGGTACTTCTCAATGGTGCTGCAAGCACTGGTGTATCATAAGGGACATCAATGGGGGAAGGCCAGGAAAGGTGCATGACGCTCACATCTTTAGGACCTCCAGGCTGTTCGAGCAGTTGCAAGAAGGGACTTACTCCCCAGACCAGAAAATTACTGTTGGGGATGTTGAAATGCCAATAGTGATCCTTGGGGACGCAGCCTTGGAATGCATGGAGGCATTCAGTGGCAGAGGCCAGGAAAGCATTAAGTGACCACGATGAGCAGAGGCTCCTTGCCTGCTGTGCCTTCTCCTCCTCCTCCACAAAATCCTCCACACTGTTGCGTAAGACTCCTCCCTTGCAGGTGTCCACGGACAGTGGTGGGGTAGTGGTAGGGTCCCCCCCCCAGAATGGCATGCAGCTGATCATGGAAGCAGAATATATGGGGCTCTGACCCAAGCAACCGTTTACCTCCTTTGTTTTTTGGTAGGCTTGCTTCAGCTCCTTAACTTTCATGCGGCACTGCTGTGTGTCCCTGTTGTAGTCTCTCTCCACCATGCCCTGTGCGATTTTGGCATATATATTAGTATTTCTTCTTTTTGATTGCAGTTCGGCTTGCACAGATTTTTCTCCCCATACACCAATCAGATCCAGTGTCTCCCTTTCAGTCCATGCTGGAGCTCGTTTTCGATTCTGGGGGGACTGCATGGTCACCTGTGCTGCTGAGCTCACCATGCTGACCAAACAGGAAATGAAATTCAAAATTTCCCGGGGCTTTTCCTGTGTACCTGGCTAGTGCATCAGAGTTCAAAGTGCTGTCCAGAGTGGTCACATTGGAGCACTGTGAGATAGCTTCCAGAGGCCAATACCGTTGAATTGCATCTGCACTACCCCAAATTCGACCCAGCAAGGTCGATTTTAGCGCTTCTCCCCTCGCCAGGGAGAAGTACAGAAGTCGATTTTAAGAGCCCTTTAGATCGATGGAACGGGGTTGGTTGTGTAGACGCGTTCATTTTAAAATCGACCTAACGTGGCTAAATTTGACCTAACCCCATAGTGTAGACCAGAGCACAGAAATGTTAAGCTGAAAGGGACCTCAAAAAGCCATCTAGTCCACCCCTACTCCCCGATGCTGAGGCAGGACTAAGTATACCTAGACAACCTCTGACAGGTGTTTGTCAAACTTGTTCTTAAAATCCTCTAAAGATGGGGAGTCCACAATCTCCTTTGGCAACCCTTATAGTTTGAAAGTTTTTTCTAATATCTAACCTAAATCTCCCTTGTTGCAGATTAAGCCTGTTACTTCTTGTCCTACTTCTAATGGATAAGGAGAACAACTAATCGTTGTAACAGCTCTTAACATATTTGATGACATTTATCAGGTCATTCCCCTCAGTCTTCTTTTCTCAAGACTAAACACACACAGGTTTTTTTAATCTTTATATGTCAGGTTTTTTTTAAAACCTTTTTATCATTTTTTGTTGCTCTCTTCTGGACTCTCTCCAATTTGTCCATGTTTCCTAGCATGTGGTGCCCAAATGTGGACACAATACTCCAGGCTGACCTTGACAGTGCAGAGCAGATTGGAACAATTCTCTCCTATGTCTTACATATGACATTCCTGTTAATACACCCCAGAATTACATTTGCCTTTTTTCACAACTGCATCACAATGTTGTTGCATATTCTATTTGTGATCCACTGTAACCCCCAGATCCTTTTGTGGGATAGTAGTTCCTAGCCAGTTTATTCTCCATTTTATAGTTGTGCATTTGATTTTTCCTTCCTAAATGTATAACTTGCACTTGTCTTTATTGAATTTTATCTTGTTGATTTCAGAGCAATTCTTCAATTTATCAAAATCATTTTGAATTCTAATCCTGTCCTCCCAAGTGCTTGCACCCCTCCCAGCTTGGTGTCATCTGAAAATTTTATGAGCAGAGTCTCCACTCCATTATCCAAGTCATTAATGAAAATATTAAATAGTACCAGACTTATAACAGATCCCTATGGAGCTCCACTAGATATGCTCTCTCAGTTTGACAGTGAACCATTGAAAACTACTCTTTGAGTATAAGTTTTCAACCAATTATGCAACAACTTTATAGTACTTTCAGCTAGACCACATTTGACTAATTTGCTGAGTATTACTGAGATGCTATGCACAGTCTTTGGTACTGAAGACTGTTGAAAAGGCACCAGCATAAATAGAAGGCAATGGGATGGGGAAGAAACAGGTGATTTGACAAGCAAAAGGCCACAACCTCTCCCTCCTCCTTCTCTGACACAATACCTATACAAAGGGACCAGTTGAAAAGCTTTTGCCTGGAAAGAGTGGGTCATGCTCGGGCATTTTCTTCTAGCCAGCTGTAAATGGAAGTGGCAACACCTGTGGCGTCAGCTACTCTCTCAGCTAGAAGAAATAGTTCTAACATTTATCAGCAGGGCTAGAAAGGGTAGAGACAGAAATCATATAGTCAAATGATTCTCTTATACTGTACAAAACAGCAACAATGTGGATTACAGCCCACATATCTACCAAAGAGCCAGATTGGGCAGAATTCTGAAGTTGTTGCTACATAAAACACATATTGCTTTATATTCCACTTGTTCCAAAACAGTTCAATTTAAAATCTATTTACCCTCTTAGTGGTTAGTAAACAGCAGAGACTGAAATCAGCAGTATAACAAAACTAAGTTAAAACAACCATACAGTTAAATACAGACAGACTTTAACCACAGGTTACCACAATAAGGCCCTATTGCACAAATATTGAATAAACCAGAAGCAATACAAAAATAATAATAAAATTGCAATTATGCATTTAATATTGTACAAGAACAAACAGACTTTAACGGAATCCAAATGTGATTGGGGGACAATATAAAGTACACAGCATGTCATTTAGCACTTCTGAAATAAAAGTTGTCCAGAACTCCCTCTAAAAACTATTAGACATTCAAGGTTGTTGCATGTCATTGGAAAGGTTATTATACATATTTTAAAATAAGTGTGTAATAACATTAGAGAGTAATTATAACTACAAACATTTATAATGTGCCCACTACTTTTTTAAATCTTGGCACGTTGCACATATATCAGATCAAGTACAAGACAATTTCCCCAAAGAGAGTGGGACAATACACACTACAACCTCCTTACTGCCCTTGCAGCCCCAAAATACTTCCCTGAAAATCTAATTGGTCTGGACAATAGAGAACCACATTTAATGGAAAACCTGTGCAAAGGAGAATTTTGATCCACCTTGAAAATTTACTTTTTGCAAAGGAGACCAATATCTTTTCTGGAAATAAAGGAGTTAAATGAAGGAAGAATTTGTGTCTGTGCAATAGAGGTACCCAAAGATCTTCTAAGGGGTGCTACTGGAATAATTTAAACCTGCTTTCAGCACTTCCCTGGCAATATAAATTCTTAGCTAGTCTGACAGATTCTTCCAACTTACTTCAGCTTCTGGGAGCTCTTGCTTGGTAGATTCACTGTAACCAAAACATATAATGGGATGTGTAGGGAGACTGACATGGACCACAATGATCCTGGTGGTGAAAGGACAGACTTCTTCAGCTCTGAAGGTGCCTACTCTGCAGATTCATAGGTTTCAAGGCCAGAGGGACCATTCTGATCATTTAGGGTTGATCTCTTGCATAACGAAGGTCATATAATTTCACCCATTCATTTCTGTATCAAGCCTACAATTTTACTCTTGCATATTTGCAACTATAAATTACCTTGGCTTCAATCTGCCTATAGCAAGAGACACCGTATATTGTGGTTCGATCTCCACATCTTGGTGGCAAGTGGAAAAACACAGTATCTAAGAAAGGAGAGAAAAAGCTTCATCAGCCACCAACAGAACGATATATCAACATTTTGTATTTTCAGCTCTGTAGTCATCTTTTTCAACATTACTCTCATTTACAAAAGCCTTACTCAAGAAATTGCACTTTTTACCAGCTCTACCCTTTTGTAAGTAGAGCTGAAGTCTTTTTGTCTAAACCTGTGACCCAACTGCTCAAGTAACTACTAAACAACTCACTTTGTCTCCATACAAAGGTGCCAAATAAGCAATATTTATGCTATGACGTGACAAAGGGCACTAAAAAAAAAAAAAAGAGCCTTTCATTATAACCTATAGGATTTACTTCAAAGCTATACAGTGTTTAATAATTATGCAAACAGATAGATATACTACTGCCACTAACTGTTAATTCAGGGGTTCTCAAACTGGGGGTCACGAGGTTATTACATTAGGGGGGTCATGAGCTGTCAACCTCCACCCCAAACTCCGCTTTGCCTCCAGCATTTATAATGGTGTTAAATATATAAAAAAGAGTTTTTAATTTATAAAGGGGGGTTGCACTCAGAGACTTGCTATGTGAAAGGGGTTACCAGTAAAAAAGTTTGAGAGCCACTGTGTTAATTGCTAATTTACAGATACAGCAAAGGCAAAGCAGTCATGAGAAGAATTCTGTTTTGCAGTTCTCAACAACATTTCACTATGAAGCAAACCCTGTCTTGAGAGTGACTAAAATTGGTTACTGACTTTGTAATAATGAAATGAAACAGAACTGTACTTAAAAATATGGAGTAGTCTCTTGAGACAAGGAGTTAGGTACTAAAAATTGTCAGTCCCTTTTATAGATTTCACTGCATTCTAAAGAGATAGGCTAGGGGTTTAGTAGAATTTTTAATAAATGTCTCTCCAAGCCAATAAACAAGTAGCCTAATTCCCCATTTCATGGAACCCTAGTAACTCCTACACTGTGAATTACTCATAACCTGCACAGGAAAATCAGGCCCAATATGTTATAGTAAATTTACAGTAATCTTAATTTGAAATACATTTGGTAATCCCAAATGAAATCTTTAGTGTGTTTCTGGCCATAAAACTCAAGGATACACACCTCACCAGGTTTAGTTGCTTTGTTGCTATGCTAGCTTTGAATCAATCTCTCTTACTTCAAAATATGCATTAATGACCTGTTGCTGTGGTAATGAAATGACAGAAAGTCAACTATTTAGCTTTCATGCATAGGACTGTGGCACTGAGCCAATGTAGAAACAACTTCACTCACCTGCTCCTACTTCCTGCTTTAGAATGCACTCAGTAGATCATTTGATATTTAATTATACAGAAATGAAACAAAGTCAGGACCCAACACAGAGTAAAGGAGTGGCCTTTTACTGATGCAAAGATAAATTCTTTTGATACAACTCCTATACTTTTGCTACCAATTCCAGATGAAATACCTCTAAAATTTAGAGGGTCAGACAATTTGCATTAGAAACATAACAAAACCCTAACTAAAAGTAGTATCAGGGGATTTTTGTGGATTTTACAATTTCTTCTTTTTAAAAATTTTCTTCTCCCCTGTTGCTGTGCAGAGGAAAAACAGTGACTCATCTTCTCATAACTTTTGTTCTTCGAGATGTGCTGTTCATTCCAATCAGGTGTGTGCACGCCGTGTGCATGACAGCCAGAAGATTTTCCCCTAGCAGTATCCATAGGGTCGGCCTGGGCGCCCGCTGAAGTTGCGCCTTCATGGCACCTAATATAGGGCCCTGCCAACCCAACCTGACCCCCCCCATCAGTTCCTTCTTACCGGGTACCCTGACAGAGGGGTAGGATGGAGGGTATTGGAATGGACATGAACAACGTATCTCGAAGAACAACAGTTACGAGAAGGTGAGTAACCGTTTTTTCCTTCAAGTGCTTGTTCATATCAATTCAAAGCAGGTGAATCACAAGCCCTTCAGGAGGCAGGGTCAGAGCTGTCCACCAGCTAGAATACCGCTCTACCAAAGGCCATGTCGTCTCTGGCCTGCTGGGTAATCGCATAATGTGCAGGGAAAGTGCGTATTGCAGACCACGTTGCTGCCCTGCATATTTCCTGGGTAGGAACCGGAGCTAGGAAAGCTGCTGAAGAGGCCTGCACCCTGGTGGAGTGTGCAGTGATTGGAGGGCTCGCACCTGGGCCAAGTTGTAGCACTGTCAAATGCAGGACAAGATCCACAACGAAATTTGTTGGGAAGAGACTGGAAGACCCTTCTGTCCACCACAGCCACAAATAGTTGAATGGACTTCCGGAATGGTTATGTTCTTTTAATATAAAAGGCAGGGGGTCTGAAGATATACAAAGAATGAAGCCTCTGCTTTCTGCCCCGCAAGTGTAGCTTAGGATAGAACACTGGAGGAAGATGTCCTGGTTGATGTGAAACTGGGAGACAACCTTTGAGAGGAAAGCTGGATGTTGCCCGAGCTGAACCTTGTCCTTACAGAACATGGTGTAAGGGGGCTCTGATGTTAGGGCCTTGAGCTCAGACACCCCCCTGGCTGAGGTTATTGCCACCAGAAATGCCACCTTGTACGAGAGGTAGAGCAGGGAGCATGTCGCTAGCGGTTCAAAAGACAGCGCCGTCAATCTGGAAAGGACCAGGTTGAGGTCCCAGGCTGGGACCGGCTTCCTGACTTGCGAATATAGCCTGTCGAGGCCTTTGAGGAAACGGCTGACCATAGGGCTGGCAAAGATTGACCGGACCTCTGAGCCTGGATGGAAGGCAGAGATGGCAGCCAGTGAACCATTATTGACAACATGGACAGCCCCTGCTGCTTGAGATCGAGAAGATAGTCTAATATAAGTTGCACAGAGATGAGTGTCAGGGACGAATGATGCTGCGCCAACCAGATTAAAAATCTCTTCCACTTGGCAAGATAGGTAGCCCTGGTGGAGGGCTTTCTACGGCCAAGGAGGACTTGTCTAACTGGGTCCGAGCAAGAGAGCTCCGTTGGGTTCAGCCATGGAGCTTCCATGCCGTGAGGTGCAGCGACTCAAAGTTTGGGTGCTGAAGTTGACCGTGATCCTAAGTTAGTAAGTCCGGGAAGAGCGGCATGGTGACTGGAGCTTCCAGGGACATTTCCAGGAGTGATGTGTACCAGTGCTGGCGAGGCCAGGCTGGGAATATCAATATCACCGAAGCTTGTTCCCTCTGTATCTTGAGGAGCACCTTGTGAACGAGAGGGATAGGCAGAAACACGTATAGGAGACAGCCTCCTCCCATGGGAAGGCTGAACGTGACCACATGTTAATGGAACCTGGGCTGTGATTCCGGAGGGAGCAAAACTGTGTCACATGGCAAACAGGTCTATCTGGAAGATTGAGTTTGCAACATCCGGGCGAAGGATCGACCTGCTGAGATAGTCCACCAACTCGTTCTGTACTCCAGAGAGGTATGATGCTTTCAGATGTATCAAATGCTCTACACAGAAGTCCCGCTTCCTGGTACAGGGGACAGAAGCATGCACCTGCCTGTTTGTTGATATAAAACATTGCCGTGGTGTCGTCTATCGTAACTGATACACATCTCCCTGTCAAAGTGGGCTCGGAAAGTCTGGCATACAAGGCACACCGCTCTCAACTCTGACACTGATGTGGTGAGCGAGTTCCGCCAGAGACCAGAGGCCTTGTGTCCTGAGGTCTTCCAAATGTGCTCCCCAGCACCAAGGCTGACGCATCCATCACTAGCAAGAGAGACAGCTGGGGGCTGGTGAAGGGGACTCCTGCACATACTACCTGTGGGTCAAGCCACCACAGGAGGGAGTCGAGTACCGGGCAGGGTTACAATCCTGTCGAAGCTGTCTCAGACTGGCTGATACACTAACACTAGCCATAACTGAAGAGATCAAAGTTTGAGTCTGGCATGCTGTACTACATAGGTATAAGCCACCACATGTCCCAGGAGTTTCAGGCAATTCCTCGCGGTGGTGGGGAACTGCCTGAGACCTTGTATGGTGTCGCCGAGGGACTGAAGCCTTGCTTTCAGGAGGTATGCCCTGGCTTGTGTTGAGTCCAGTACTGCCCCTATAAACCCTATCCTCTGGACCGGGGACAACTTTAATTTCCCCTCATTCAGAAGGAGGCCCAGTTTGTCGAACGTTGTTCTTTTTAAGTCGACTTGTGCCTCCACTTGAGACCTGGAGCGGCCCTTGATGAGTCAGTCATTGAGGTACGGGAACACCTGTACCTGCCGCCTGCGCAAGAACGCAGCCATGACTGCCATGCACTTGGTAAACACTTTAGGTGCTGCCGACAGGCCGAATGGAAGGACTGTAAACTGGTAGTGGGTGTTGTTCACCACAAACCTGAGGTATTTTCTGTGGGACAGAATTATTGCTATGTGAAATTACGGGTCCTTCAAGTCGAGAGCGGTATACTAGTCTCCTGGATCTAATAAAGGGATGATGGAGGCCAAAGAGACCATGCGGAACTTGAGCTTCGTCATGAACTTGTTGAGTTCTCGCAGGTCTAGGATGGGCCTGAGCCCGCCTTTGGCTTTCGGTATTAGGAGATACCGGGAATAGAAACCCTTGCCCGTCTGCTCCTGAGGAACCTCTTCCACTGCCCCTAGCGAAAGGAGCAAGTGCACCTCCTGTATAAGGAGTTGCTCGTGAGAGGAGTCCATGAAGAGGGATGGGGAAGGAAGGCAATGGGGGGAGGGGCACAGAATTGGATGGAGTATCCCCTCTCTACCGTGCGGATCACCCAGCGGTCCGAAGGGATACGGGACCATGTACAGTAGAAAAGGGAAAGGGAAAGGACGAAAAAGGTGAGGCAGGGTAGATCCAGTTCTTGTTCTGGTGTGCCGTCCTCAACCACACCTTCAAAAGGCCGGTTTGGGGCCAGGGCAGCTTGGGTTGGCCAGAGCCCTGGCCTGAGGATGAGTGTGGCCTCTTCCTGACTCCCCTATTCCTCTTCCGGGAACCATATGGTCTGTTTTGCTGGTAAAACCGCAGAGGAGGCTGCGGCCTGAAGTGCCTGCACTGTGTAGCAGGGGGGTGTATGCCCAGGGATTTGAGGGTGGCCCTCAAGTCTTTTAAACTGTGAAGTTTCCTGTCTGTCTTTTCAGAGAATAGGGCCTGACCTTCAAAGGGGAGTCCTTCGTGAGGGAGTCCAGAGACCTGAAGCCAAGAGGACCTTCTCATGGCCACCACGGTAGCCATGGTTCAGGAGGCCATGTCGCCACCGTCAAGAGCCAACTGCAAGAGGTCCTGGAAATGAATTTGCCTTCCTCCACCAAAGCATTAAATTCGGTGCAGGAGTCTGGTGGTAATAGCTCATCAAACTTGGCCATTGCTCCGCAGGTGTTAAAGGAGTACCTACTAATAATGGCATGCTGGTTTGAAATGTGGAGCTGTAAACAACCGATGGAGTAGACTTTCCTCCTGAACAAGTTCACCTTTTTCACCTTTTGATTTTTAGGGAAGGGTCTCTGAAACCCATGATGCTCCCTTTGGTTTGTAGCATCCACCACCAAAGAGTTGGGTGGAGGATGAGAATAGAGATGCTCGTATCCCTTTGAAATAGCATCTCTCATTTCTCTTAGCTGTAGGGGGCAAAGAGACCGGAGTGTGCCGCAAAGTTTTTGTGGTCTCATTTATAGACTTGATGAGTGGGAGCGCAATATGCGAGGGCCCAGAGGGGGCAAGGATGTCCACCATGGGATCAGCATCCTCTACCAGTTGCTCTGCCTGGATCCCCAGGTTCTGGGCCACCCTACGCAACAACTGTTGCAGAACTCTGTTATCCTCCAAGGCCAGGGTTGTTGAAGTGCCCTCAACGGCCTCATCTAGGGAGGACAAGGATGATAGCACCGGCACATGGCCTTGGTCACTGCCCTCGACACCAAGATGGTCACACTGTTCGTTAGGTTACTCTATTGCTGGTGCCAAGGTGGTGGGTGCCGGCGCTGAGGTCCGAGCGGAAGGCGGAGGTATCAGCATAGTCTCCGGTGCTAGCTGCTCTAAGGGGGTGAAGGATGCTGACACAACCAACACTGACCTGGATCTTGAAGCCTGGCTCTGACCCTGGGCTTGATGATTGGACTCCCTGGGCCTAAAAGGCCACTGAGCTGGTGGTTGCCATTGAGGTGGCCAGGGTGCTGGAGGATCTAGACCTCCTGCTGCTGGACCTATCTGAGTGCTAGGACTCCACCTCAGACTCCGAGGTCTCCGGAAAGGAAGACCATGGAGGAGTGGTACGGGGTGGTGCCGAGCCTCTGGGGATTGATGCAGTCCCCCAACGTGGGTGGTCGCCACCGGGGAGTGGTGCAGTGGAGATGGGGAGCGGTGTGACATAATTGATGGCTTGCCCCTAGATCAGATAGGAGGCCGGGTTATCACTGGTGCCTCGTCCCTCCTTGGAGAAGGCAGTGCCGTCAGGCAAATAAGGTCCTGCGCCACCTCAAAAGTCTCCATAGTCGAGGGGAGTTCAATGTCCCACCCATGACAGTCTGGAGAACGGCAGTAGGCTGGGCTTGATTGGACCCCTTGCAGGGCAGGAGTCGACGAGCCCCTAGGAGGCACTGGGCCCGAAGCCAGCTGGATGGGCTGAGCCCTCGCTGCCACTGGCTCCTTAGGCTTAGGAGGGGGATCAGCATCTCTCCTGCTTCTTTTTCTTCTGAGGCACCGGGGATGAAGATCAGCGCCTGCCACAAGTCTTATGTTCAGCGCCGTCTCGGTGCCGGGAATTCTTAGCTTCCTTCCTTGGTGCCAGCTCACACGCAGTCGGCACCGGTACGCTGCGCACAGAGGCGGCGGCACTTGGCACGGGCTCCGCTGATCTGGGGTTGGACTGCAGAGGGAGGGCTGCCTCCATGAGGAGAATTCTGAGTCTCTGCTCGCGATCCTTAATGGTCCTCGCAAACCCCTTGCAAATGCGGCACTTGTCCTTTTGGTGACTCTCACCGAGTCACTTCAAACAAGAAGTATGTGGGTCACTCTTTGGCATCAATTTCCCACAGACTTCACACGATTTGAACTCTGGCAACCGAGGCATGCCCCAGTGTTGGGGAACAAACTAGGGCGGAGGGGAGAGGCCCCGGCAACGGAAACTTAAGAGAAACTACTAACACTACTAACTAAATACAACTGACAGTGGGACATTACTAAAGGCACTTGCAAAAGCAAGAGTGAGGGAAGTTTCAGCTAGCTGTCACCGGCGGTAAGAAGGAACTGGGGGGGGCGGGGGGAGTCGGGTCGGCAGGGCCCTATATTGGGCGCCCTGAAGGCATGACTCCAGGGGGCACCCAGGCCAACCCTACGGATACTGCTGGGGAAAAAATCTTCCGGCTGTCATGCACGCAGCGCATGCACACCTGATTGGAACTGACATGAACAAGCACTCGAAGAAGAAACAGACCAATTGACTGTACATGGCACCACAGTACACAATGAAAGGTACCACGGTACATAAAAAGTACGGTCACAAATGCACAAAGCAAAAAATCTGGAATGAAACAAAAAATTTCCCTCTAATCTTTCAGTTATAGGACCCTTTGGCATTACTTGTAAAAATAAAACACTTTCAAGTGTTCATTTTAAAGTGATCCCTGTTTCTCCGGTGCTTATAGTGCTATTTTGATACTGATTCAGAATTTGAAACTGCAAGTCCCAGACAATAGGACTTGTGTAAACTAATCCTTGGTTTCTCAGAGACCTGGTCTTCTTGAGGAGGAAGCATAAAGCAAGATTAAGAGAAAAATGTTAAATAAAATATTTCATTTTTCCATCTATAGACAGAGCAAAACCATCTATAGATATATTTACCTGTAGACTGCTATGCCTTGGCTAAGTCCTAAATAGTAACAACATCGCAAAATGATTCTCCCACCTTTTCATTCTGAAGGCCACTACTCTTCATAGCAAGTCCTCCTGCCCTTCTTATTGGTTGGTTCTCACTATATGATTTCTGCAGACTGTCCATAAGGATCTGTAGAACACATTTTGAGAACCACAGATCTATTTAAGCAAAAACAGATTGCTTTGTTCACAAGCTTTTGAATACTTTTTCTCCTACCTCCATAAATATTTACAGGACCAGATTTCCTTAATGAAGGTTTTGGGGACTGTGGGTTATTTTATTTTATAACCATAGGCAAGTGAGGTTGTAACCTTTAAAGGAACCCCCTGTATTCAGTGAAGATTTCCTGCTGCTGGATGCATTCTCATGATCAGGGTTCAGTTTAAAGGCGCAGGTATTTTAAGTTGCTTCTTTTTACAGATTCCATTTCTGTAAAATCCATTTCTGCAGTTGTGGACTAAACTACAAAATAAAGATTAATAGAATTCAAGTAGTCAGAAGCCTGGTTAATTAATAGTTCAAGTGTCAGGATTCTTCCCCCTAATAGAAGCACACAGGAGGACCCAGTGTCTTCAGCTACTGCCACAGATCCCCACTCAGATGCTGTAACCTCCTGTTTGCTTTCTTACCTTCTTGATAGTTGTGAGCTCCATCTGGCAAGGCAAGGAAAGGCAAGTATTTCCATTCTTCTGGTAAACTGTGGCTGTCATGTCCTTCTCCTGAGAGGAGGGGAGGATAGGAGAATTCAACCTGAAAAGGGGCAGGGGGGGGGAGGCCATGTTATTCAAAACAGAAATAGATACAAACTGCCACACAAGATCAGTCCAGCAGTGCCTCAAGTCTAGAATTTTGTCTCCACTGGAGGCTAGAACCAAGTGCTTCAGACTAAGGTGCAAGAAATTCCATTGTGAACAACCTGCATGAGGGTCTACATCCTTTATACCATCTACTTGTGGATGATGTCACTACAGTAAAACCTCAGAGTTACGGGAATGGGAGTTGTTCGTAACTCAGAACAAAATGTTATGATTGTTCTTTCAAAAGTTTACAACTGAACATTGACTTAATACAGCTTTGAACCTTTACTATGCAGAAGAAAAATCCTGCTTTCCCTTTATTTTTATTAGTTTATGTTTAATACAGTACTGTACTTGCCCTTTTTTGGGGAGGAAGGGGTCTCTCTGGTGCTTCCTGATTGTGTACTTCCCTTTCCAAACAAGGTGTGTGGTTGACTGGTCAGTTGGTAACTCTGGTGTTCATAACTCTGAGGTTCTACTATATCTATATTTATAACTAAGTACTATTTTGGATCTTATTAAGCCCTTGCCTTCAGTAATCTCTTGGTGCAATAAGTTCCACAGGTTAGTTATGTGCTAAGAGTATTTATTTTTATCAGTTTTAAAAGTGTTGCTTTGCAATTTCATTTGAAGGCCTTTTGTTCTTGTATTGGGAGAAGAGATAAATGGGAACTTCCAATTTACCATCTGTATCTCATTCATTATTCTGAATACCTCAATCGTATCCCCTATTCATCATCTTTCTAGTTAAGAATCCTAATCTTCTCAATCTCTCTTCATATGAAGTCTCACTATACATCTAATCATTTATCGCCCACCTCTGGACCCCTTTGTTTTTTGGTGTGTATTTCTAGAGAAGGGTTGACTAGACTTGAACAGAATACATTCAAGGGGAAAAACATAGCATTTATTTATATAACGCCATTATAATACAGTCAGTACTTTCTATCCCATTTTTTATGCAACCTAACTTTTTATTGACCACTTCTGTGCATCAAGTAGATATTTTCATTAAGCTGTCTAGTGACACCTAGGTCTTCTGCCTGACTGGTTATAGTTAAAATAGAATGTAAAAGAATGAACAAAGCATCTTGTTTTGTGCAGTTGAAAATCTACACCTACTATATGGTTTTGAGGGTGGAGGGAAGAAAATGTTTTCAATTCAAGTACACAAATCAATTTGTCAGCGATTGAAAGAGAAAGGATGACCCTTAAAATGTAAGACTCTACAAAAGTAACAGTAGTGCAGACTAATCAAGCAATCACTGGAAAAGTGAGTGAGATGGAGGTTCTGCTTTACCGAGTCACTGACATTATGGGTACTATCTTCAACAGTATAATAAATGTGACTCAATGTAATATTGCCAATTAAAAAAATCCCACAGAAATTTCTAAATGTAATAGTTAAATCAACTTGTCACAATGAGGGAGTGAGAGCTCTAGCCAAATCTTCATTTATCATTAAAGAGAGCAGAGGTTATTAAGGGAAAAAGTATAATTTCTGATAGAAGATGTTCAGCTGAAGATCAATCAGTTGTCAAACTTGTAAAAGTACAGTATTTTTCAAACATTGTGAACTTCCATAGAAGAGCATGCAAAGAAATCATGTAGGAAATCATTTCAATAGTATATGGTGTGACGGGGCAAGGCCAGATGGCTATAGAAAAGTAGTGGGAGACAGATATATTAGCTCCAGGCTAAACAAATCCCTGGTACCAGGTTAAGGCACGATCAAGAGGCATGCTTAGTCATGCAGGAGACCCTTCCTCAGGAGGATAACTTACACGAGCAAGTGAGGATATCATCTGACTTGATGCCGATCCAAAAGATCGAGGCAGCCAACATGATTAATTGCAACAGAGATGTGTTCTCTACAAAACCAGGGCGGACGACTGAGACCTATCACCGTATCCGCATGATCCCCGGAGCCAAGGTAACATTGAAATCCTACCAAATCCCACTTCTGATACCAGTTGTGACAAAGCTCTATCCTTGCCTCCGTGGGTCCCGCGTTTCCTGGCGGATTGTGCTAGCCTCAGAGGCTCACTGTGATCCTCCACGTAACCTTTCTTTCTCTAGAGACAAGGGTCACAGTCTACTGAGCCGTTTTCATCATAAGCCAGCAAGGGACGTGAGGAGAAGTTATCCTTCCTTGCATAGTCTCTGTTGTCTCCCAGTCTCAGTGATTAATCAGGGGGCAAAGGGGGGGGGAGCCCGGGCCCACTCTCTACTCCAGGCTCCAGCCCAAGGACCCTAATAGTATCAGCTATGGTAGCTGACCTTTTAGAAACATGACATGTACAATTCCCAGGGCTACTTCCCCCACAGCAGCCCTCACTTCCTCAAGCTCCACTTCACCCTTACCTCAGGGCCTCCTTCCTTGTGCCTGATAATGGTGTGTACAACTCAGTCTCTCCAACAGCGCAACTTCCTCCCACAGCTCCTGACACGCACACCCACCTGACTGACTGGGAGGCTTTTAACTAGTTTCAGCCAGCCCCTGATTGGCTTCAGGTGTCCCAATCAACCTAGCATTCTCCCTGCCTTCTGGAAAGTTCTTAATTGGCCCCAGGTGTCTTAATTGACCTGGAGCAGCTGCCATTTCACTTATCCTGGTACCAGGGATTTGTTTAGCCTGGAGCTAATATATCTATCTCCCACTACTTTTCTATAGCCATCTGGCCTTGCCCCATCACAATGGATAATCAAATTTAAACCCCAATAATAATAATAATAATGGTGTGGGAGGGACAAGGGGGAATCAAGAGTAGTAGAAATCAGTAAGAAAATAAAATGGGAATTCCATTATGTCACCTTTACTCCAGATGTCGTTGAGTTGTGTGACACATCTATATGGGGGGGGACGACACACACACACACACAAAAAAACCAGCCTCACAAATTGCAGTGTTGGTTTCAAATTCGCTTATTCCCGATTCATACTGTATCTCACACCATCATATGCAGGAATAGCTCCAGGCAATGCCAGAGAAAAATCAAAACTTCCTATGGTCACAGCCGCCCTGCACTTAACACTATAATCTTCTCACAAAGTACATGAGAGACACAGAGAGAGAGAGAGAGAGAGAGAAAAGACGTAACAGAAAACGTAACTGATTTAAAGATAATTGTATTCCAGGATTCTACTTAAAACTCCTTTCTACTGAAAATGTATAAAAGATTGCTTGTTTCGTTCAAACTCAGCAATCAAGATAAACAGGAGAAGCATTTGGCTTCCAAATGAAAGAGGAATAATAGAATGAGATAGTGTATCCACGAGGTAGCAATTGTCTGCAATTTGATAGATTGTCAGTAAAAATTCATAGGGTATGTCTACACTACGGAATAAGGTCGAATTTATAGAAGTCGTTTTTTTAGAAATTGGTTTTATATATTCAAGTGTGTGTGTCCCCACAGAAAATGCTCTAAGTGCATTAACTCAGCGGAGTGCTTCCACAGTACCGAGGCTAGAGTCGACTTCCGGAGCGTTGCACTGCCGATAGCTATCCCACAGTTCCCGCAGTCTCCGCTGCCCATTGGAATTCTGGGTTGAGATCCCAATGCCTGATGGGGCTAAAACATTGTCGCGGGTGGTTCTGGGTACATATCGTCAGGCCCCCCTTCCCTCCCTCCCTCCGTGAAAGCAAGGGCAGACAATAGTTTCGCGCCTTTTTTCCTGAGTTACCTGTGCAGACGCCATACCACGGCAAGCATGGAGCCCGCTCAGGTAACCGTCACCGTATGTCTCCTGGATTTGGCAGACGCGGTACAGCACTGCTACACAGTAGCAGCAACCCATTGCCTTCTGGCAGCAGACGGTGCAGTACGACTGGTAGCCGTTCTCGTCGTGTCCGAGGTGCTCCTGGCCACATCGGCTGGGAGCGCCTGGGCAGACATGGGCGCAGGGACTAAATTTGGAGTGACTTGACCAGGTCATTCTCTTTAGTCCTGCAGTCAGTCCTATTGAACCGTCTTATGGTGAGCAGGCAGGCGATACGGATTGCTAGCAGTCGTACTGTACCATCTTCTGCCGGGCAGGCAAGAGATGAGGATGGCTAGCAGTCGTACTGTACCATCTTCTGCCGAGCAGCCATGAGATGTGGATGGCATGCAGTCCTTCTGCACCGTCTGCTGCCAGCCAAAGATGTAAAAGATAGATGGAGTGGATCAAAACAAGAAATAGACCAGATTTGTTTTGTACTCATTTGCTTCCCCCCTTCCCCTGTCTAGGGGACTCCTTCCTCTAGGTCACACTGCAGTCACTCACAGAGAAGGTGCAGCGAGGTAAGTCTAGCCATGTATCAATCAGAGGCCAGGCTAACCTCCTTGTTCCAATAAGAACAATAACTTAGGTGCACCATTTCTTATTGGAACCCTCCGTGAAGTCCTGCCTGAAATACTCCTTGATGTAAAGCCACCCCCTTTCTTGATTTTAGCTCCCTGAAGCCAACCCTGTAAGCCGTGTCGTCAGTCGCCCCTCCCTCCGTCAGAGCAACAGCAGACAATCGTTCTGCACCTTTTTTCTGTGCGGACGCCATACCAAGGCAAGCATGGAGGTCGCTCAGCTCACTTTGGCAATTAGGAGCACATTCAACACCACACGCATTATCCAGCAGTATATGCAGCACCAGAACCTGGCAAAGCGATACCAGGCGAGGAGGCGACGTCAGCGCGGTCACGTGAGTGATCAGGACATGGACACAGATTTCTCTCAAAGCATGGGCCCTGACAATGCATGCATCATGGTGCTAATGGGGCAGGTTCATGCTGTGGAACGCCGATTCTGGGCTCGGGAAACAAGCACAGACTGGTGGGACCGCATAGTGTTGCGGGTCTGGGACGATTCCCAGTGGCTGCGAAACTTTCGCATGCATAAGGGCACTTTCATAGAACTTTGTGACTTGCTTTCCCCTGCCCTGAAGCGCATGAATACCAAGATGAGAGCAGCCCTCA